GAAGCAGCCCGTGACAGCTGACTAACACCCAGGTACCTATTTTACTGCTAGGTAACAGGGGGGCATAGGGTTAAAGAAACTCTGCCTATTGTTTCTCGCTGGCGCCCGGGATCAAACCCGGGATCACAGGATCACAAGTCCAGCGTGCTGTCCGCTCGGCCGACCGGCTCTCAGTGGTAGTGGACCTCATTCCCCGATCCTGTGAGTGATAGTGAACTTCATTCCCCAATCCTGTGAGTGATAGTGAACTTCACTCCCCAATCCTGTGACTGATAGAGGACCTCATTCACCAATCCTCTGAGTGGCAGAAGACCTCATTCCCCCAATCCTGTGAGTGGTAGAGAACCTCATCTCCCAATCCTGTGAGCGTTATTGCACCCCATACCCATCCTGTGAATGGTATTGGACCCCACATACCCATCGCACGAGTGGTAGTGAAAAAAAAAATATTAGAGGTACATAATGGGGACCCAGGAGTTCCCTCTAATTACTAACTAGGTAAGTTACAGCCGTAATGAGGTAGTTACAGCTGAAATGACGTAGTTACAGCGCTAACAAGTATACCCCCGCGGGGGGTGAGGGGGGGGAAGGGGGTATTGAAGGAAACCGAACATTACAAATAAGATGCCGCAGTAATTCCTCATCCGGTTCCTCCCCGGTCCGGTTCCTCCCCGGTCCGGTTCCTCCCCGGTCCGGATCCTCCTGGACCGGCTCCTTCTTGCGGTCCGGTTCCTCTCGGCCCTGGCTTCGGCGCGTCATTATTATTGTGTTTGTTTGGGTAATTAGTGATAATTACAGATTGTAGCGAGGCGCCTCGTCCATTGGTCTGCCCACCAGGAGATGCCCCTGCCCTCTGATGGCTTCCTGCTGCCCACCAGGAGATGCCCCTGCCCTCTAGTGGCTTCCCGCTGCCCACCAGGAGATGCCCCTGCCCTCTAGTGGCTTCCTGCTGCCCACCAGGAGATGCCCCTGCCCTCTGATGGCTTCCTGCTGCCCACCAGGAGATGCCCTGCCCTCTAGTGGCTTCCTGCTGCCCACCAGGAGATGCCCCTGCCCTCTGGTGGCTTCCTGCTGCCCACCAGGAGATGTCCCTGCCCTCTGGAGACTTCCTGCTGCCCACCAGGAGATGCTCCTGCCCTCTGGAGACTTCCTGCTGCCCACCAGGAGATGCCCCTGCCCTCTGGAGACTTCCTGCTGCCCACCAGGAGATGCCCCTGCCCTCTAGTGGCTTCCTCCTAGAGTAAAGAACCGCTCATTGGGGTATAAGGATTGTTAAGCCTAACATCCGGCAACAATCTCGGAATATCATTTCGTCTAGCGGCCGGATACCCTGTTTTACCTTACGTGTATACCTCGTTCGAGAGATGTAGATTACTCTACAATCTAACGATTGGAAAATTTCTGCCTTGTTATATAAGAAACAGTACTTAAGTGCGTGTCTTAAATACTTATCATCTACTCAGTCACTAAGAGAGCCAGATAGAAATAGATTTTAATCTACATTAATTATTAATCTAATTTTAATCTACATTAATTATTTTAAGACATTTTTAAGTATTACACAGAGAAATCTCAATGGCGTGATGCATCAAATGAACAAATCCTTAGTCGACTAAGGCAGCGTCTGGGATCCTCTCGGACGTAAGTTCGAATCCTCGTCACGGCCCTTGTGGATTTGTTCACTTAAGTAGTGTGTGTGTGTGTCTTTCGGGCCTGACATCTAGTGGAGGAGGGAAGCGGTATTGTATCACCTCCTAGAGACCAGAGGAGACATGACCGAGAGGTGTATAGTATCCTGCCTCTCGGTGTATACTGCATATACACAGCGATTCCTTTAGTCTTGAACTATGTCCAAGACTAGAATATACACTTACCGATTTGTCTGTAAGGATACGATACCCAACACCAAACACCTTCCCCATCACCAAATGGAATATCTCTCTCTCTCTCTCTCTCTAGGATAGATAAAACTAGTTTCACAGACCATCTATATCTATACACAGCGAGGCGGGCATGCAGGCAGGCGCTGGCGGCTAGCAGAGCGAGGGACTCGAACCAGCAACCATCTGTTACGCGCGCGAGAGAGAGAGAGAGAGAGAGAGAGAGAGAGAGAGAGAGAGAGAGAGAGAGAGAGAGAGAGAGAGAGAGAGAGAGAGAGAGAGAGAGAGAGAGATGAGCGGCTGATAACCAACACCCCAGCCGTCCAGATTAAGGACCAAACTATTGCAGATGACCGAGAATTACAGAGAAGACGGACTAGCTCCCCCCCCCCACACCCCCTCGCTCCCCCGCACCCCCCACACCCCCCCACACACCCCCCCTACACCCCCCCACACTACCAGGCCTTTACACGAAGACGGTAAATTACGTCTACTCTCAGATTATCACACGTTCGTTCGGCTGATTGAGGAGAAGGAAGAGTAGGGAGAAGAGAAGAGAGAGAGAGAGAGAGAGAGAGAGAGAGAGAGAGAGAGAGAGAGAGAGAGAGAGAGAGAGAGAGAGAGAGAGAGAGAGAGAGAGAGAGAATTGGGTATAGAGATGGATGTAAAAAAATGTTGTTGTCCCAAAAATTGCTGATTTCAGATAAAAATAAAGTCATGAGGGAGACTTAAGAGAAACCCACACTATAGCACCCAACCCGCACTCTGAACACTCTACAACACAATACAACACTCTAAACACACTACAACACAATACAACACTCTGGACACACACTACAACACAATACAACACTCTAAACACACTATAACACAATACAACACTCTGGACACACACTACAACACAATACAACACTCTGAACACTCTACAACACAATACAACACTCTAAACACACTATAACACAATACAACACTCTGGACACACACTACAACACAATACAACACTCTGGACACACACTACAACACAATACAACACTCTGGACACACACTACAACACAATACAACACTCTGGACACACACTACAACACAATACAACACTCTGGACACACACTACAACACAATACAACACTCTGGACACACACTACAACACAATACAACACTCTGGACACACACAACAACACAATACAACACTCTGAACACTCTACAACACAATACAACACTCTAAACACACTATAACACAATACAACACTCTGGACACACACTACAACACAATACAACTCTCTGGACACACACTACAACACAATACAACACTCTGAACACTCTACAACACAATACAACACTCTGGACACACACTACAACACAATACAACACTCTGGACACACACTACAACACAATACAACACTCTAAACACACTATAACACAATACAACACTCTGGACACACACTACAACACAATACAACTCTCTGGACACACACTACAACACAATACAACACTCTGAACACACTACAACACAATACAACACTCTGGACACACACTACAACACAATACAACACTCTGGACACACACTACAACACAATACAACACTCTGGACACACACTACAACACAATACAACACTCTGGACACACACTACAACACAATACAACACTCTGGACACACACTACAACACAATACAACACTCTGGACACACACTACAACACAATACAACACTCTGGACACACACTACAACACAATACAACACTCTAAACACACTACAACACCCTTCGCAAATAATTGTATTAAACAAAATTGTAAACATAAATGAAAAGCAGTTGATGTAGAAGACTAAGGGCCAAATATAAACACATGTGGGTTAAAAAAAAAACAGCAATAAATAAATAAATAAATCAATAAATGAAAAAGTATCTACACTACCAGGTTGGATCCCTATCTACACCCAGCTCTCCACACGTCAACCACACACACCCTAACACCTACACTCACTTACACCCAGCTCCACACCCCTCACCCACCCACGCTAAGATCACCGTCTACACCCTAAAACATTACTGTCTACACCCTGAAACATTACTGTCTACACCCTAAAACATTACTGTCTACACCCTAAAACATTACTGTCTACACCCTAAAACATTACTGTCTACACCCTAAAACATCACCGTCTACACCCTAAAACATTACTGTCTACACCCTAAAACATTACTGTCTACACCCTAAAACATTACCGTCTACACCCTAAAACATTACTGTCTACACCCTAAAACATTACTGTCTACACCCTAAAACATTACTGTCTACACCCTGAAACATTACTGTCTACACCCTAAAACATTACTGTCTACACCCTGAAACATTACTGTCTACACCCTGAAACATTACTGTCTACACCCTAAAACATTACTGTCTACACCCTGAAACATTACTGTCTACACCCTAAAACATTACTGTCTACACCCTAAAACATTACTGTCTACACCCTAAAACATTACTGTCTACACCCTAAAACATTACTGTCTACACCCTAAAACATTACCGTCTACACCCTAAAACATTACTGTCTACACCCTAAAACATTACTGTCTACACCCTAAAACATTACTGTCTACACCCTAAAACATAACCGTCTACACCCTAAAACATTACTGTCTACACCCTAAAACATAACCGTCTACACCCTAAAACATTACTGTCTACACCCTAAAACATTACTGTCTACACCCTAAAACATTACCGTCTACACCCTAAAACATTACTGTCTACACCCTAAAACTTTACTGTCTACACCCTAAAACATTACCGTCTACACTCTAAAACATTACTGTTTACACCCTAAAACTTTACTGTCTACACCCTGAAACATTACCGTCTACACATAACACACACCCCATCTACTCCCTGAAACATTACCGTCTACACATAACACACACCCCATCTACACCCTGAAACATTACCGTCTACACATAACACACACCCCATCTACACCCCAGCCCTTCACACACGACACTTTACCGTCCTCGCCCTCCTTAAAAAAACAACTTAAAGTTAACCCTAAGAGGAGGAAATTGTAATAAGAAAAGTGAGTGTTGGTCATCAGAGAAGCCAAGATGTGCCATCAGCGATAACCAATGGCCCTGGATGATGATAGTGATGAAGGTGATGATAGCCTTCGCCGTGTCATCACCTCCACACCTTCCCCCTCCACCCCCAACCCACCGGCGCTTCGACTCGCCAATCATCAACCCCCCCACCCCACTCCACCACCCTTAACCCCCCCCCTCTATCTCTCCTTCATAACCCCTCCCGGCACCACAACACTATCATCACCACTACCATCACAATCATCACCGCTATCATCACGTCTAGGGGGTAGGGGGGGTGGGGGGCATCAATGCCTAGCACACACACGCTGTCTTTACTGCTATCGACACATTACTCCCACTCCCATCTCACCTCTCTCCTGTGATCACCGCTACACTCTCTTATCGCCCCTCACCATCAACCAAGACACCATCGCCCCTCACCATCAACCAAGACACCATCGCCCTCACCATCAACCAAGACACCATCGCCCTCACCATCAACCAAGACACCATCGCCCTCACCATCAACCAAGACACCATCGCCCCTCACCATCAACCAAGACACCATCGCCCTCACCATCAACCAAGACACCATCGCCCTCACCATCAACCAAGACACCATCGCCCTCACCATCAACCAAGACACCATCGCCCTCACCATCAACCAAGACACCATCGCCCCTCACCATCAACCAAGACACCATCGCCCTCACCATCAACCAAGACACCATCGCCCTCACCATCAACCAAGACACCATCGCCCTCACCATCAACCAAGACACCATCGCCATGGCATATTGCATATAGCATTGAGCAGCAACACCACAACACAGCCACACAGGCGCCAGCAACACCCCAACATAGCTATGTTGTGGCTGTGTTCTACCAGCAACACCACAACACAGCCACACAAGCACTACATCATTATATTGATAAAAACAAACATGAATGGTATGTCATAGACACAATATCATATTCAATGGTATGTCATAGACACAATATCATATCATTCAATGGTATGTCATAGACACAATATCATATCATTCAATGGTATGTCATAGACCCAATATCATATCATTCAATGGTATGACATTGGTCACAAATCGTCCGGACCCTCACTTAACGGGTGCACCCAACCCAGTCAGACTGACCCACGACCAGCCTATGCACGTCCCAGCCCTTAGACTATTCACCCTACAAAGTTAGGCAAGACTATAGGCACCATAAGCGTCGGGCCACCAATCTTAGATAGACAGACATCGTGTGGGGAACCACAGTGAAAATGGGAAGGTTGTTGTTGTTAAAGATTCACTACCTGGAACAAAATTCCAAGTAGCACGGGCTATGGTGAGCCCGTAGTACCTTTTTTTTTTATTTGGGAAGGGAGCTAAAACGTTTTCGACTGTTCACGTCTTCATAAGTTAAAAAAAAATAGTTTTAGTTTCTTTTCCATTTCACTGTTGGGCATCACTAGATGCCCCACTTCACTGTTGGGCATGAACCGACCTAACTAGAACCCCAGTTCAAATCACCTCATGGTCCAAAAATGATTTTCTCATTGATATATATATATATATATATATATATATATATATATATATATATTGTGACGGTAACGCGTTGGTGTTCGGCTGTTTAAGGCTAGGGGTATGGCCTCGTCACATAGTTATAAAAAAAAATAGAAAAACTGGAACTTCGTCTGTGGTAAGGTAAGGAGAAGACACACAAAACACAAGTAAAACTTTAACAATGAAATTTTAATGACGTTAAATAAATCAAAACATGAAAATAATGCACAAACAAATTCTTATAATAAAATCAATGAATCAAAATAATAAGAATTCTTAAATGACAAAATGAAAAGTTACGTTAAGGCAAAATAACAAGAAGTGCAATACAACAGTAAGTGGGAGGTGCTGGAATATTGGCTTAAAGCCACCACCTCTCTCAGTACACTCTAGAGTCTAGCTGGGAGGTGTGCTGGCTACGAAAGCACTGAACATTCTGAAGACTGATGTTGGGGCGACCCCAGACATCGGGTAGTATTGGGGGGCGAGTGCAGGTGCAGCCAGACCGGCGACCAATCAGCGGAGCCGTAGCGATCAACGGGTAGTTTGGTGATTTGGGTCCGAACAGGTGGCGGGCTGCATACGTTTCTGCTCACCCTTGCAAGCCTTGCTGGTGCTGGTGTTGTTGTCGTTGTTGGACATTTCTTCCATAGTCTTTTTATATAATTGTGAAGACGTAATTTTGGAGGGAAGAGCAGGCTCAATCTCTTGAAGGAGATTATCGTCACAACTCTCCCCCGAAGCCTGCGGTTCTGGAAGAAGTACGTCGTTATGTGGTGGAGTAATGGATGGAGTTGCTTCTACTTCATAAACTCTGGAGAGATCATGGGCTAAGATGTTGTCAGACTCTTGGTATAGCGTGTCTCCAGGTTGAATTTCTGCAGGTAGCAAGCCCATAGTAGAAGACGTTGAGATGAGAAGTGGGCGTGCTGCAGGAGGTGTAGGGTGGTGTGGTCCGTATTGATGGTGGACCGAGCACTTTTCAGGTGTGGAGTGAAGTGCTGAAGCTTCAGGATGAGGAAGAGTAGCTCCTTGCCAATTGTTCCGTAGATCCTTGTAGCAGTAGTCGCTGACAGGTGTATTCTTCTCGCCTCGTTGCTGCATCACGACACCACCCACGTCGGTACCATTGGCGTCGACATGGAGGATGAAGGGCTTATCTGACGAGGTGAGAGTGGAATTAGAAGAGGGCATAGGAGCACGATTATTATCCTGAAAGCATTTGGGAAGATCATTAAGGATTTTGGAATTAGAAAGCGCCGACTCCTTGTCAGTGCTTTCGGGAGAAGAAGCCGGGATGGTCTCACTGTGGATGTAGGGTTCTGTGAATGTGGAATAATTAGTCAAGACAGTGGGAGGAGTACCATTATATTGCTTCAGGAGGTTGACGTGGCACAGCTGGGTCTTCCGCCGCCTATCTGGAGTCTCTATCACATAATTATTATTATTCCTGCACTCTTTGACGCAGTAGGGTCCTGAAAATCTGTTTTGTAAAGGTGAACCTGGGATAGGGAAATAAGCAAGGACGAAGTCTCCCGGCTTGAATTTTCTTACTTTGCTGGTCTGGTCGTAATGAGTCTTCATTCTCACCTGGGCTTTCAATAGATTATCATGGGCAAAGCGGTGGACTCTCTCTAGAATGTGCTGAAGGTTTTGAAGAAACTGGGGCACATTCTGATGCTCACTGAAGGTGGCATCTCTGAGAGAGTCTTTGAAAGCCTTAAGGGGAGTACGGCACTTACGGCCGTAGAGCATCTCATAAGGAGATACTCCTAGGGACTCATTGGGGAGACTTCTGAAAATACACATTATTAGGTCAATCTGCTTATCCCAATCCTTTGAGGTTTCACTACAAAACTTTTTCAAGAGTGCTTTGATGGTCTGATGACTACGTTCAAGAGAACCCTGTGAAGCAGGATGATAGGGGCTGGACAATACCTGTTTGATGTTGAACTCCTCCAGTGTCCTTTTGAAGAGATCACTGGTGAAGTTGGTGCCACAGTCACTTTGAATCTCCCTGGGAAATCCGTATTGAGTGAAGATCTTCAGTAGATGTTTGATAACCGTAGCAGCCGTGATGTTCTTCACTGGAACTGCTATGGGAAATCTGGTGGTAGGACACAGGATGGTTAGGATGTAGGCGTTACCTGAACTGGTCCGAGGTAAAGGACCAACACAGTCTATTATGAGTCTGTGGAAAGGTTCCGCAGGCACCTGTATGGGAATCAGTGGTGCTCTGGGAATGGAGACGTTCGGTTTGCCTGCCATCTGACATGTATGACACTGTTTTACGTACTGTTTGACGTTGTTTACCATACCTGGCCAGTAGTAGTCTTGACGAATCCCATGGTAAGTCTTGTTGAAGCCGTAGTGGGAGAATGCTCCGTGGGCCAGGTGTAGAATAGTGGGCCGCAGGCTGGTGGGAATCACAAGTTGTTCGGTGTTGGCCCAATCGTCCTCCTCCTTCAGTTTACTGGGTCTATATCGGCGGTAGAGCAAGTCGTTCTCTAGGAAGAACCCAGGAATACTGTCGGGTTGAGTCTCAGCCTGGAAAAACAATGGTGTTAAAGTAAGATCTTCCCTCTGCAACTTACGGAACTCCAACTTGGTCAGATGCGGGGGTAGTTTCTGAGGGTCTTGAGGGACAGCGGTAGCAGTAGAGTCAGCTGGCTGTGGACGTGCGGCTTGTGCACGGGTGGTCACGAGAACCGGAGGAGAAACTTCACTCTCTTGAACCTCTGCTGGAACATACTCAAGAATAGGGTTACTTGGCACAGAGTTACACACCTGGGGTTTGTCCATGACGATCAGGTTGGTCGGTTGCAGGTCTTCTGCCAAGTCGTTGCCTAGGAGAAGTTGCACTCCAGGCATGGGAAAAGGCTTTTCCCTGACGGCGACTTGGACTTCCCCGTTCACGTAGGGACAATCCAGGTGGACTCTGGCGAGAGGGTATGGAGTGGTAGCAGTGAGGTCAGTGATGAAGACTGTTTCCCCGGTGTAGACTATGTTGGGCACAGCCGACTTCAAGATGATCGATTGTAGAGCCGCTGTGTCCCTCAAGATCTTCAATTTGAAACGTCCCTCCGGATTTGAACCGTTGGCAGAGACAGTTCCAGTATACAGGTGGTTACTGAAAAGAGAAAGATCATTAACATCAACACCAACATTCATCACAGGCTTACCGGACTTAGGAGGAGTTGGTTTGGGTCGTTGTTGGTCAGTGGTTCCCTTGTATTGAGACTTACCACACTTGTCTATGGTATGTCCATAGAGTCTACAATACTTGCAGTACAGTTGTGAACCAGCTTGATCGGGGCTCACCTTCTCGTAACTGTACCACGACTTCTTACTGGAGGATGGTTCAGGTGTCAGCCGGTGGATGAGGCTGTAAGTGTCAGCCGACTTAGCACACTTCAGGTAGTCGGTTTCTTCTTTATCTGCTAAGTAGAGGCGGACAGGAGGCGGCACACGTCTCAAGAATTCTTCAACAAGCATCAGGTTGACGAGTTCTGTAAAAGTAGAGACATGTGCTGCTTCCAGCCATTTCATGAAATACCTCCGTTTCGTGTTAGCAAACTCGAGGAAGGTAGTGGTACTTGCCTTCAGGTGGTCACGGAATTTCCTTCTATAACTTTCAGTAGAGAGGAGGTAGGCGTCTAACACTGCTTGTTTCAGAGTGTAGTAGTCATTCTCAGACGCCAAAGTACTGAGTGTGACTGCAGCTCTACCTGTAAGATGGACTCTGAGAAGTGTGGCCCATTGGTTGACAGGCCAACTGAGTTGATTAGCAAGGGTTTCAAAGGTGGTGAAAAAAACATCAACTTCTGCTTCTACAAAGGATGGCATTAACTTACTTGCATGTGATATATTAAAACTGACGGGAAGATTGGCAGTAGCTTGCTGGCGTTGGGTGAAGTGTGAAGTTTCCAAGGAGATTTCGCGTTGACGACACTCTAGAGCCAGAGTCGCTTGTTGCTTGTCATGTTCGCGTTGTATTTCCAACTCGCGTTGTTTGGTTTCAAGCTGTACTCTTTCACGTTCACGGAGTAATGCGACTTCGCGTTCGTGTTCTTCTCTCCTCAAGGCAGCTTCGCGTTCTTGTTCGTCTCTCCTCAAGGCAGCTTCACGTTCTTGTTCGTCTCTCCTCAAAGCAGCTTCGCGTTCGTGCTCTTCCCTTCGTATGGCAGCTGCTTCTCTTTGCTGCTCACGTTCAATCTTGGCCAGCTCTAGTTTAAGTTT